TAACGTCACATCCAAGATCCTACCTTGTGAGAAAGTTACAGGCCTCTCCCACTGCATCTGTTACACACACACACGTACACCGATGTTGGATTGATTTCAATTATAAACTTATATCGCACTTTCTACAACAAACGCTGTTACTAACTAGCTTTATTGAAGTAGGTAGGGTCTAATGATCGTGTCACCGAGGCTGACCGTGTCAGGAAAAACTCCATAAGAGCATGAAGAAGAACCACTAAGAGGAACCAAGACTTGAAAGGAAAAACTCCCTAAGGCTACGTTCACATTACCAGGTTGAAGTGGCACAAATCAGATTTTTTGCCCTAATGTGACTCAGAGCTGATGTTTTCAGGGCTGTGTGGACACAAATCTGATCTTTTCAAAGACCTGAGCCACTTTCATATGTATCCTAGATCGGATACGTATCCGATTCGTGACCATGCGACCTTAATGTGACGCTCAGATCGGAATTCATGTGCTTTTTTTCCCACTGCACGTGACCATCATTCAGTGTTACCATGGCAGCAGCGCCGAACAGAAGTTAAAGCCTGTAAACGGTGGAAAAGCAGCTCATCTCACCTTTTTCTCCTTCGTCTCGCTCTAATAATGAAGCTGAGAGCTGATCAGAGTTAATGATCTTCTCAGCGAAGCTCGTTCTGCTCGTTAGTTTGTGCTGATGATGAACGTGATTCATTCACGTGACGTTACTGAGTAGGATGAGCTCATGAGGGTCATTTCAGGACGCCGGTTCATCACATTAATGACAGATTTGAGCCTGTTGATACAAAATGTGAATAAGCGTAAATGTAATTCGTTATGTAACTACATTTAAATAGTATAGCATAAGACGAGACACCTGAAGGTTACATGACTCTTGTAGGCCACGGAACCTTTAGAACGCTCTCCACGTAACACTGTGCTGGCAGCACACTCGGAGCCAGCTCTGAAGTTTCTCGGCCTGTGTCGTGAAGTCGAGAAGCAGACTGTCACTATGCAGAAGCATCCCTTTATAGCCCTGGACTGAAACTAGAGCTGCTCACAGAGCAGAGATCAAGCTCTGCTATCCAGACATACATCCAGCACACTCACGCTGCCTCATTCTCCACTGTCCACTGCAGATGCTTGGGGTCACTGCACTGGTCCCAGTGGTCCCGCTATATGTCATGGCATTTAGACAGTGCACAGTATCAGGTTTATCAGTGCACCTTAAAAGTAACAGTAAGGTCATCTGCACACTGTTTAACGTTCTCTACAAGTTGGAACAATTCAACTTAGTTGCTAATTGTTGTCATTTTGCTGTACATTTACATTCAGTTTACAGTCGCAGATAAATGCTAATATATGCAGGAACTCTTAATCTGTTCTGGATGTTGTACATCTGCCAAGTTCATGTTAACATGTTCTCTTCCAACTGTAATCAATGATTTTCTTATAGAACCGGTGTTTGTTTGAGCTGAATTACTCTGTTTAATGCTCAGGCTCATTTCTTCATTCAAAATTGGAATAATTCTCTTGGTAATTTTGCTGCCAAGTCTTGGTTTCTCTCGGTGGTTCTTCCCCATGCTCTTATGGAGTTTTTCCTTTTACATCTTGGTTCCTCTTTTTGGTTCTTCCTCATGCTCCTAGGGAGTTTTTCCATGTGAGTCTTGGTTCCTCTCAATTGTTCTTCCTCAAGTTCTTACAGAGTTTTTCCTTTACGTACTGGATCCTCTTTTTGGTTCTTCCTCATGCTCTTAGGGAGTTTTTCCATGTGAGTCTTGGTTCCACTCAGTGGTTTTTCCTCATGCTTTTAGGGAATGTTTTCTTTCGATTCTTGGTTCCTTTCTGTGGTTCTTGTTTTTACAGAGTTTTTCCTCTCAATTCTTGGTTTATGTCATTTGTTCTTCTTCATGCTCTTGAAGTTTTTCCTTTTGAGTCTTGGTTCCTCTCAGTGGTTCCTTCTCATGTTTTTACAGACGTCATTTGTAAAAAGAGACGTCATCTTTGTGATTGGTTAGGAAATGCTTACAGAAACATTACCCACTGTTAGGATCGCCCAGTTTACAGCAAGAGGAGAGAAATACTGGCGAAATACACCACACATTTAATTGACTTTGGGAATGTGTTCATAATAAATACATCGTACGTTGTGGTGTTTCTTCCTAATGCTGTTAGTGAGTTTTGAGTCTTTGTTCCTTCCAGTGTTTGTTCTTCTTGCTCTTAGGGAGTTTTTCCCGATGCTGGCCTTTAGAGATGCTCATTACATCCACGTTTCTATACATCTTGTTTGTGTCAGCATTTGCTGTAGAAAGCAATATACAAGTTTGAATTAAATTCATTTAACCCCTTAAAATCCCAGGTGTATGACATACTAAGGCTTATTATTCAGTCACTACAGGGAGTTCAGTGTAAACTGGCTGAGGTAATAGAAGTGTGTGATAAAACTTTGGGCCTGCCACTGAGCCATTTAAGGGGGCCATTTAAGGGTAATTCATATTATAATAAAATAACCTATCTACAAACAAATGTGGTATGGACTGAAAGGCTAGAATCTGCACTTTCTGCAAAATTTGTCCAACAATTAGGCAATTAGTTGTCACTGGTACATAATAACTCTTGCAGCGTCATTCAGGTCTACATGATGGAAAATGAACTCGCTGCAAGAACCAATTCTGCACTGTACTCTCTAAATGGTTTTGTAATCCAGAGACATTACTTCCAAAGACAAATTGTCCCAGACCCATGGGATCGTTTGGTCCAGTCCTTATTATGTCATGAGACAAGCGTGCTCTGGCCTGGGCACCAAAAGTCTATTCTGATCTGAAACAGATACAAAGACGTCACTGACACAATGCCGGTGGTCAGGTGACGGTAATAGAGCAAAGGATTTGACATTGTCTCTTTTCCGTTACCTTGATCTCTTTCCTGGTGTTAACATGCTGAGACACAAGGACGTGGTGGACAACAGGCCAAAGCAGATGCAGTATGTTAATAACTAGATAAAATGCATTAAAAGAGATTAGACTGAGTACGAGAGAATGGGGTCATTGGATTACTGCCACTACCAAGGGTGGTGAACTTCAAGCACAACACCACCCCCAACATTAATGGCTCTGTGGTTTCCACTGTGGAGTCACTCAGGTTCCTGGGCACCACCATATCCAGGGACCTAAAGTGGGAGAGGAACACTCTCTCCTTAGCCAAGAGAGCACAGCAGAGAATGTTCTTCCTGAGACAGCTGAAGAAATTCAAGCTGCCTGATGATGAGCCTGATGATCCAGTTCTACACAGCGATCAGCGAGTCCGTCCTCACATCATCCATAACCGTCTGGTTTGGTTCCTATACCCTCACAAGAATGTGCCAAACTCCAGCGCATAATCAGGACAGCGGAGAGGATCATTGGATGTAGCGTGCCAACACTTTAGGACATCTACAACAGCAGGATGATGAAGCGAGACAGCAACATTTCAGCTGACCACTCTAATCCTGGACCTCTTCCAGGCACTTCCCTCTGGTAGAAGATTCAGGGCCATCAAAACCAGAACAACTAGATATGCTAACAGCTTTTTCCCCAGAGCTGTAGCTCATTAACCACAGTGGACACCTCGCACTTTAAACCTTAACTGAACCTAACAAACCTCCCTTACTGTATTGCATAATGCATATTTGCACAACTGTACAAGTGTTAGTATTTTTTTATTTATTTTACTAATTTTCATAGCATTCTGTAATATTCTGTATATCGCTGTTGTTGGAAGAAAACCTCGTATCTCCAAAATGGTAACTTTATAGGAGAAGGAAAAAACCTACTTTACTTTTAATGTAAGCCAATGGAACCAGACTTTTTTCCAAGTCATTTTGGGCCGTTTATTTTGATCCATTCTTCATGAAATTTACACACAATGTAAAGAGGAACAGGCGTTTTCAAAAAACGACAAAAATGGAGATACGAGTTTTTTTTCTGACAGCAGCGATATAATAGTTATTATATTATATGTCTACTCAGATCTACATATGTATAGTATTCATATTGGCATATGTACAGATATACACACATCTCTTCAGCTCCTTTCACATTGGCTCTTTATTATTCTATTCTGTTTATTGCAGTTTTATTTTATTTGTTGCTTAGATAAATATTTGTTTATGATTCTGAAATGAGAAAAGCATTGCAATACACAAGGTGCATGCATAAATTTAATGAAAAACATAATAATACTTTGCAGAATTTATCCAATACTAATTTATACTTTATACTTTTACAACCCCATTTCCAAAAAATGTTGGGATGCTGTGCAAAATGTAAATAAAAACAAAATGCAATGATATGCAAATCATTTAAACCCTATATTTCATTGAAAATAGTACAAAAACAACAGAGCTTGATATTTACCTGATGAGCTGAATCAGGCGTGTTGGGGCAGAGAATAGTTGAAACCATGCAGGTCAATGAGTGCCTTGGACTGGAGTTGAAAACGGCTGGACGGTGGTACACAAAGGACAGTGTGGCTCCACTCCAAAAAAAGAGGTCAACCCAGCAAAACTGTGTAGAATTGAGAGGTCACCAGAACACAGTCCTGACTAGAGACACAGTATCAGGCACATTACACTATTTTTCCAACTATTTTAATGGGAACATGTGGGGTAGTTATGCCATTTTACCACTTGGTCTACTAGACAGAGATTTCTATTTTATCTACAAAGTCAAATTGTATTATTTATAGTATAGTCTAACTCTGTTCCTCTCTAAAATTGGTTTGGACATCACTGGCTCTTTTGGAACTCCAGTAGCTTTTGGAGCTTAGCATTACTGACACTATGTGACCTTGTTATTTTGAGAAATTCAGAATTGTGTGAAAATTTCCATACTGGTGCATGCACAGCCTTTGTCATAGCCATATAACACTGCAAGGAATGGTTCATAAACTGTGTTTCAGAGTCAGGGACATAACAGGAAAAGGAACAGCTTATTTGAGAAAGCGATTCTATATTCAGTGACTTTGTTCACTGTGTTTTCCAGATTCGGTGAGTGAGGTGCCCGACAATGAGCCACTGGTGCGTCTACAGCTCCAGAAGGAGGGCGACCGGTTCTCGGGCTGTGACTGCAGCAAAGAGATTACCCAGAGTTCCTCCAATGACACACCAGCACCCGAGAGAACCGTCTGCCAGCCTTGCACCGCCGGGCCACACCTGGACGCACCCTCCAGAGAGGATTCTGTAACCAGTGAGGAGGAGGAGGAAGATGAGGAGGTGGCTTCAGACGAAGCGAGTGAAGTGGTAGGTGAAGAAGAGTCAGAGCAAGAAGAGGAAAGCAAGGAGCAGGCGTTAGAGAATGAAGACAACGAGGAGCTGCAGGGGAACGAAGAACACGAGGAAGCATCTGAGGAGGTGATGGCTGAATCAATTGCAGTGGAGGATGCATCAGAAGAAGCTGAGGATGTGGAAGAGGAGGTTTCGGAAGCAGAACTAGATACCACCACGACTCTTCCTGGAGAGGAACCTGAGGTTATAGAGTCTGAAGTTGTAGAGGAGCCAGTGCAAAAGGGGGAAGAGGAAGTTTTGGAAGAACCAGTATCAGAAGAGGAGACGGTGGAGGAGCCTCAGCGTCAGGGAGTATTCGGGTTTGAAGCGGTAGCCGCAGAGATAACGGCCTCAGCGGCTGCGGATAGCAGCAGTAACCCTGGAGAGTTCATGGCAGATGCTGCCCCCATAGAAGAGTCTAACCCTCCTGCTGGTGAGGAACCAGTCACTGAGGAAGTTAAGCAAGAACTGCCTTCAGAAGCTGATCCTCCTGTGGAGGAAGCAGTGCCAGAGGACAAGCCCACAAAGAAACCAACACCCAAAGGCTCTGTGAAAGGTACAGCACACAAGCACAGTGCAAACAATGTGAAAGAAATCTCTCGTGAGATCGTTTAGATCTCTCATGAACAGTAACGTATCGTCCAAACAATGGCATGTGTTTTTGCCTTTTTTTGTCAGTTTTTAATGTTCATTATGTTTCTTAATTTCTTAACAAATTAACAAAGTCAGTAGTGCAAACTGAAACCTGCTGATGCAGAATGTAAGCTGAATCCAAATGTTATTGCATGTATAACTACAATAATTTGTGTTATAGTTTAATTCCTGTTATAGTAAATAAATTACAAAGGCTTATTGCTTGGGCTGTAAATTTTAACAGAGCAGTCTACAGTGCAAGTCGACTTCTGTGCCTGTCTTTTGTACCCATTTTACAGTTATGTGCCCTATGTGACTAAACTGTAGTGCAAAAAATGTCCCCTTTTCAAAGGGACTTGTATGTTCTTTTAAGTACCACTCAAGGGTACAAGTCATTTTGTACCTTAAGGCTATGTTCACATACCAAGCCTCATTGCTCAAATCTGATTTTTTGCTCAAATCCGATCTCTCTGACACGATGGTTCACTCTCGTTTAGGCAATTGATTCCAATCTTTCATGAATGTGACGAACCGGCGTCCTGAAATGACCCTAATGAGCTCATCCTACTCAGTAACGTCACGTGAATGAATCACGTTCATCAGCAGCACAAACTAACGAGCAGAACGAGCTTCGCTGAGAAGATCATTAACTCTGATCAGCTCTCAGCTTCATTATTAGAGCGAGACGAAGGAGAAAAAGGTGAGATGAGCTGCTTTTCCACCGTTTACAGGCTTTAACTTCTGTTCGGCGCTGCTGCCATGGTAACGCTGAATGATGGTCACGTGCAGTGGGAAAAAAAGCACATGAATTCAGATCTGAGCGTCACATTAAGGTCGCATGGCCACAGGTCAGATATGTATCCGATCTAGGACCACATATGAAAACGGCTCAGGTCAGATTTGAAAAGATCAGATTTGTTCACACAGCTCTGAAAAGATCAGATCTGAGTCACATTAGGGCCAAAAAATCGGATTTGTGCCACTTCAACCTGGTAATGTGAACGCAGGATTAAGATACATTAAGACAGCTCAAATATACCAGAAGTGTGCAGACATGCTAGCAATAAGACTTTCTGTTTATTTGCTGTATGTCCAAAGTTTGCAGACACCTGCTGAACCAACTGAAATCAACAATATTAATAGGGAGTTTGTCTCCCATTTGCATCAGTAACAGCCTTTACTCTACACTACCATGTGTCTATAGAAAGGACTAAAGCTTGGATTTCACACATCGAAGAACTAGAGCTGCTTAGTAAGAGCACTCGTAGATTCCGTCTGTGTAGAGAATGTCAGCGCCGCTTTAAAACAGAAACGCCTCGTCCTCCCTGCTCTCCGTGCTCTAGAACCTGACACCCCAGTCAAAGGTGCCCCAGAAATAACCTTACTTCTGAAATAAGCCCACCAGAAATAGCCCCAGAGACCCAGTAGACCCATGGCCACTGGTAACATGTTCTCAGGCCTGCTGTAAGAAGATGGCTTAATTTACATGATCTTTATGAATATTTTTTATGACACAAATGATAACACTTACAGCACGTATCTCAGTAACTCAGAACCAGCACCCCTGCAACTGATTAGATGATTCATAAACAGTAAAAACTAATATGTTAGACATTTTGCAGGTTCGGTAATTGTTGGAGTGCTCAGATGTCCTAAGGCTGGTTAATACCATAAAATTTACATGCAACTTTAGTTGAAACCTACATGAAACTAAATTTTACTTGAGGTGCATAATGTAAAGTGTACTGCAACATCACTTGAAACTCATCTGCAACAGTTGCAAATGTCTCAAATTCATAAAACAAGTTTTATGAAACAGTCAATCAAAATGGCAATTACGAATCGTGCAATCATGCCGAACGATCTCAAACGATCTTTCACTGGAACAATAGATTTATGTAAGGTTGGTAGTTTTTCATTTTGTCAGTTACCTGAGCCATGATGGCAAACATGAGTTGCTCGAAACAATTCTGTAACCAACCAGCTTAACTAGTCTGCTAACAGTAACAGCTGTTTAAACGGCTGCCTGTGCCAGCGTTTATTCCTGTTCTTGTTTGTTAGCCTGCTGTTATCGAGATCTACATAGCTAGATCCATTTTCTCCTCTCTTGACACCCCTAATTTACACAGAGCTCAGATTCCTTTGGGATGTGAAGGATTAAAATTATTACAGAAGAGGAGACTGAGATGTACTCCTCAATCACTTGTGGTGCTTCTAGGTCAGGATGTGCAAGAAATCAAGTACAACCACAATACCTACTTTTAGGCCTCATTCACCAATATCTTCCCAAGTGTTTTTCTTAAAATTGTTCTTGAGAAAAGGTCCTAAACTGCAGAACTGGTCACAGTTCTTGAGTGCATGTAGATTAGAAAACATTGGTGAATGTCAGAATCTTAATGAAAACTGCATAAGTGAGTTTTAAGAGAAAACTTTCTTCTTAAGAACAGTGGGTGAATAAGGCCCATTACCTTTTCATAGGCCTAATATTCACAGAACAGATTTAAAAGTCAAATACATTGTAAAGAATCATAGGTATGTAGTTAAAAGACAGAAATAAAGATATCAGCAATGATGGAAAAATTGTACCAACATGCAGCAAATATGTAAATTCCATCTTGCAGATGACTTTGTAACAAGAATGATATGTATCAAAAAATATGCTGCTAATCTGTCTGTTTAGTAGAGTGACTGAATGTTTTGCATACAGTTTTGATTGTTTTTAAATTGCTTCATGTAACTGTCATGTTGCACCAAAATAATGTTGCATGTAACTCAGAACGTGCAACTAGTTGCATGAAAGTTTCTCTGTGTACAGCCAGCATAATGAGGAACTATAGCATGCAACTCATTTTTTGTTATATGCTTACATTTCAAATAATATTTTATTTCTATGTGTCACACCGTTAGAGTAGATTTGGTTGAAATTGGTTGTCTTTTCCAACCTGCTTTTTTTTGATTGGCTGCAACAGTATAGGACAGCTTGGTAGTAGAGTGTTTTAAACAGGAAACTGAATGTTATGAAGCGATTCAGTAGGCTGAATGAGATTTTGCCAGCGTACCGTAACGGTTGTCCAACAAGCAGCAGTTGCTACAAAAGTACAACTTTGTGGGCGTGGCCTGTGGGCGGAGCCTGACCGTGAACATTCAGGAGTCTCTCCTTTTTGTCCTTTTGTTTGGCAGTGGGGAAGACAGCAGCAGAGGGTCCTAAGACGAGGGATCGGTCTCACATCGATGACACACTTCGACTCGCCATAACTGAGCCATCTGAGAAGTTTTCAGGTTTGGCACTTTCACTGATTAGCATGAGCATCACTATGAAGAACAATCTTTGGTTTTGTTGATATTCAGTAATAATTCAGCTTCCAATTACCTCAAATGGAAGCATCACACTCGGGTGGTCTCGACGACAATTTCTGAGTCTACCTTACCTCAAGACCAAGACAGAGACAAAGTCCATTCAGTGTTGAGACTCCAGTACTACAACACAATTACATAACTTGCATAATAGCCAGTGTATAATTTGTGGTAGGTACCCAATAATATGTCTTAAGATTAAAAATGTAATTATGCACAGAGTTCAAGACATTAATACACAAGAGGCCCTGGCTCTAATTAAAGCATAGAAACAAGCACAGATTTGAGTGTCTGTAACGACATACAAACTACATCTGATTAACCGTGAGGTGATTTGAACACAATAATGAATCAGCTTCATAATCAGCTGTGGGGACACAATATGGCCACTTATTTTAAACAATTTAGGCCTCTTATGTTAAACTTGGGCCTCCGGTTAGAGCTGCACGATATTGACATAAATGCATTATTCGATAAAGTTGTTGGATGTATATATACTTTTTGGGTGTGTATATATATATATATATATATATATATATATATATATATATATATATATATATATATATATATATACACACACATACACTTCCAAAAAAATCCATACTTCTGCCACATCCAGTTACAGGCACTCGCTTCCTATATTTAACATTGTGATATTTGAAAGACGTTGTGCCCTCAGTGTCTCCTCAGTTGTTAATCCATTGTTAGCTTTAGCATTATGTCACCTGCAGGAGCAGCTTTTCCTTATTAGACATGAAAACCTGATGCTTTTGTGCCCAGTTGGTAAAAGATTCCCTGGTTTTATTTACGTAAACTTTCCAAAATCCTTTTTTAAGTTATTTAAATCGGCCAACATTTGTATTTTATGTGTCCGCACTGAACGTCTTGTAAAGCCAGTTTAGTATTAAATAGTAAAATACTCCTCTATGTGCTTTTAAATAAATTTTTCTTTGTGCTGCTAAACTTCTTCATCTAAACTTCATCTTCAAGTATTGTGGATGTTGCCAGGTAGGCTGAACTGAGAGTTTAACGGACATAGCAACAATAACTAAAAGAGGCGGGATAGAAAGTCTGCAAATTCCACTTTACAAACTATTAATGTTGACAATCGCCTACCATTATAGTAACATACAAAGACCGACTTATTTTCATGGTTGTTTTATGTTTTTGTTTTTACGGATTTAATTGACTGGTAATGATTTTTACCACAAAAAAAAACATTTCAGGTCAGTGAAATTAGTGTACACATGGTTTATGATTAGATTTGACCATACATGGCTTTGATAAATAAGTGCCACTGAGAGCACTGTACACAATTTAGACTTATTCAGAGTAACAGAACATTCCCAGCACCAGAGCTAGAGTGGGAAGTGTTTTCAGACCAGGAATTTCATGATGTAGACCAGCCCACCACTCTTAACTCTTAATGCACACAGCATTGCATCTCAGTGCACACTGCACTGCCTTCGTGCAAACTAACTATTTCTAAAATCTGCACATTTTCATATTTTCACTTTTTATTATTTAAATGTTACACTGAAATAACAAAGGTGGCTCACTAGTGATAAAACACTGGTGAAAGCTTTTGTCTTAAATGTAACATAATCAAGACAGTCAATATGCTACAAACTATTGCTAGCTAAGAAAGTTAATGTCACTGTTTCTCATTGTCCACCTGCTCGGATATGTCCTCTTCCTCCTTAAGTAGCTTTTTCATTCTCGTCTTCGACCGCCTCGGTTTTTTTGCAGTTCTTGCTGCTGCTGTCCATCTTCACATAATTAACATATGAAAAGTTGCTGCATCGATTAAAAAAATAATGACCTCGTGTCAGTCAGCACCAGATTCACATCGTCGCGCAGAATTTAATACGCTAATCTCTCAAGGCTGATGTTAGCTTCTTGTTCAAATTTCCGTTCCACCTTATAGTGGTGCAGTTACACGCAAACACCTATACAGGCGTCTGAATGTAACTGCTACATCATTTGAGGTGGAACAGGAAATGAGAATCAGAAGCTAATTTCAGCTTCATCAGCAAACCAGGGCTGTACCACTTAGGGTGGGGGCTGCTGATTTAACCCCTAAATTACTACAGATATGCACTTCGATGTAACACGTGTAGTTTGTCTGAGTGTTCTTGTGCTTAGACCATAGTTCACAGTAACCAGCCCAAAGCAGGCCCACCGGGAATTCTCAGGACTCTCCCATTGACTCACTACAGCGCTGCCCGGCACTCACTGCTCTGTCCTCTCCATATTCCCGTAACATTTACTTCAAAAAAGAAGAATTTGGCAAAGCAGAGCCGGCCGAACTCTGATTAATAGGAGCGTATTCACTCGCTGGACCGTATCTCTGCGTATTCATCATAGAAATCACTCCAGGGAGCAAAACCGTCTGAATAACAGAGTCTTAATAATCTTGCTTGTCTTAATAAAGAAGGCAGACCTGGTGAAGAGTGTGTGTAATTAATCTGACTCGGGAGGCTGTACAACTCTGTGAAGACATTATTATTTTTCCTTTGGGCTTCATTTGCTCAGAATGACCACCCACACCTGCACCTAATCTTACACAGCCTCATCATCTTACTTCAGCTTTCTGTCGGCTCTTCCTCTTCTCTCTCGATCTGTCTTCATTGTACCGTTAACATATTTAGGATGATGAAAGCACAGAGACAGAATATTGATTACTCTCCTCTCTCCCCTCTCCTTTTCACTGTCTTTTTATTCATTCCTCTCTCTCGCTCTCTAGCCACCCTGAAGAAGCTGCAGCATATTTATCACACGGCCATTAAGCCTGTGGAGCAGGCGTACAAATACAAGGAGCTCAGACAGCACGAGGTCTCAGGTGAATCTCTTCTGACTTTCTTGGCCTTATCTACTACAGCACCGACACAGTTGTACTTAGCACTGTAACAGCCCCAGATAGCATTCAGAGTCTGCTGTGAGGAAATCCCATAATGTAATATAATGATTTCCTCCGGTGTGCAGAGCTCAGTTTAGCAGCCCAAATCCAAACAGTGCCTTAGTGGCCTGAAATGTGATCTGATTTCCTACAGAAGGAGTGCAGGCCTGGTTTAATTTTACTTCAAAGGAGGTCATAACATTTAGATCATCTCAAAAATTGGAGGATTTAAAGTGGTAGTTCATGTAAATGTCTTGTAACACTACTGAGAAGCTACTGCCTTGTTGATGAGGCCCAGTTATTTCTTCATGACGTGAAGATGAGAAATAACATAGCTCATCAAATCAGTAGCTTGGCCCAATTCTTCAACTCTGGCCTTTTGCACTGACATAAAGACGAGTTCTTCCAAGTAGACAGAAGTTCTGTCTTCTGTAAGCTCTGTATCTACCAAATACCACGAATGTAAATCAAAAACGTGTTCTTTAGCCACTTCCTTGATCTCCATAATTGAGGACAGAAGTGTCGCCCTCTTGTGGCGAACAGCAGTAGTGAGTAACCACTTGCTTTGCTAATGCTGCTGTTTGGGTCGTAGATGCCGAGATCGCCTCCAAACCCATGGTGCTGTTCCTGGGGCCCTGGAGTGTAGGCAAGTCCACCATGATCAACTACCTGCTGGGCCTCCATGACACCCCGCAAGAACTCTACACAGGTAATGATGAAATGTTGCTTTATTATTGCCTCACTTTCATTGTCTGAGAGAGAGAATGAAACAAAACAAATTAATACATGCACTAATCAGGCATAACATTCCGACCACCTCCTTGTTTCTACACTCATTGTCCATTTTATCAGCTCCACTTACTATATAGGTGCACTTTGTAGCTCTACAATTACAGACTGTAGTCCATCTGTTTCTCTGCCCCCTGTTCTTCAATGGTCAGGACCCCCATGGACCCTCACAGAGCAGGTACTATTTGGGTGGTGGATCATTCTCAGCACTGCAGTAACACTGACGTGGTGGTGGTGTGTTAGTGTGTATTGTGCTGGTCTGAGTGGATCAGACACAGCAGTGCTGCTGGAGTTTTTAAACACCTCTGAGAATAGTCCACCAACCAAAAACATCCAGCCAACAGCGTCCTGTGGGCAGCGTCCTGTGACCAGCGTCCTGTGACCACTGATGAAGAACTTGAGGATGACCAACACAAACTGTGCAGCAGCAGATGAGCTATCGTCTCTGACTTTACATCTACAAGGTGGACTGACAAGGTAGGAGTGTCTAATAGAGTGGACAGTGAGTGGACACTGTGTTTAAAACACACACTAACACACCACCACCACGTCAGTGTCACTGCAGTGCTGAGAATGACCCACCACCCAAATAGTACCTGCTCTGTGAGGGTCCATGGGGGTCCTGACCATTGAAGAACAGGGGGCAGAGAAACAGATGGACTACAGTCTGTAATTGTAGAGCTACAAAGTGCACCTATATAGTAAGTGGAGCTGATAAAATGGACAATGAGCGTAGAAACAAGGAGGTGGTCATAATGTTATGCCTGATTGGTGAATATCAGGATCCTGGAACTGATTTTTTTCCATCCTGTTCCTTATAGTATCTGACAGTACTCTTGTATCTTGTATTAAAGCGATGTTTCCACAAAATCCAAACAGACATTCAATTGGCCAAGTCACGTTTGTTGCCTAAAGTCTGATTCTTTAGTTTTGCACTAGAGCTACTAGTAATGGAAGTTTATACTCCACTAATTAGCATCATGTAAATCTCATGTCTAAATCCTCTCACATTTGCCTCAAACCATGTCAAGTTGTTTGTAATGTCAAGTAGACTTGATTATTTGATTCCTGGCACATGTTATGGATGACATGGCACATGTTATGGGGGAATGTTATGTTCCTGGCACATGTTATGGGGGCAGTCATGGGCTGGAGGTTAGGGAACCAGCCCTGTGACTGGAGGGTTGCCGGTTTGATGCCCTGAGCTGACAGTACATGACTGAAGTGCCCTTGAGCACCTAACCCCCAACTGCTCCCCGGGCACTGCAGATAGGGCAAGTGTACTCACTGCCCCCTAGTGTGTGTGTTCACTAGTGTGTATGTGGTGTTTCACTGCATGGATGAGTTAAATGTGGAGGTGAAATTTCCCCATTGTGGGACTAATAGGGGTCATTTAATCTTAATACTGTTATCTGTAAACCTGGACAAAAGTATAGACATAATTCAGGCTCAAGACGGCTAAAACAGCTGTTTTTAGATTTGCAATTTAGTTTTGACTTTTGCTCATCAAACATGTGATGTTTGGAGTTCTTGACAAACTGTTGCTCTAATATTTCTTTGCTTTGCTTTTTTCACCCCTCCACTCCCTCCCTCAGGTGCTGAGCCCACCACCTCTGAGTACACAGTCATAATGCACGGCGAGAAGGTACGCACCATCGAAGGCATCGTCATGGCAGCTGACAGCTCCCGCTCATTCTCACCGCTGGAGAAGTTTGGTCAGGGCTTCCTGGAGAAGCTGATAGGCATCGAGATGCCTCACAAGTTGCTGGAACGGGTCACCCTTGTGGACACACCTGGAATCATCGAGAACCGCAAGCAGCAGGAAAGAGGTGACAAAGAACCCAAACATACATAGCATTCACTTACCTTCGGGTTGATTAATGTGTCCTTGATATATAAATAAAAATAAAATAAATAAACACATGCAGAGAAAAACACACAAAACACACCCACCTAGCAAACACAAACATATGTAAACAGAGACATTACATAAAAAACAAACCAACATTCACACCTACGGGACTGACACTGTAAGCTATTTTAAAGATGACTGTGCGTTTGGGTCTGATGATGAATGTAAAGTGCTTGTTTATTTAATTATCGTACTAACTGTCAGAATATCATCATACAGCATGAATTTATTGCTTGTTATCCGGTTTAAGGAATATGAACCTTATAACAATATTATTATATATTAATATGTTAAACAGATATGTTTGCTGGTATTATAGAAACACTACACTGTATATAATTAGTTATGTTAAAGCAATAAGCCATAAGAGGCCGTGGGTTACTGCGATTTTATCACGGGGAAGGGTGTTGTTAGGCACGTTGAGAAGCAGAATAATACTTCCTTTCCCATGATAAAATCGCAGTAATGCACTGCCTCAAGTGGCTTATTGCTTTTATAAAACAGCGGCCAACATAAATATACACAATATTTTAGATAATTATTTAAGTTATTATTAATAATAATGGATATTAACAAGTATTCCGCCAAGAAATGTAGTTCCTTTAGAGTGTGGTATCGTTGCTAAGCAACCTTTGACCGCTGAATGAGGAGAAGAACATGCGGTCGCACATCGACATTTCGTGTTTTTTTAAACTTTTTTCGTCTAACAGTGAACATTTGATAACACAGCACTGTTTAATGCAAACACTTTTAGTTTATAAGTACTTTTTGGTCACCAAATCACCACCGTGAGTCTTCCGCCAGTCTGACGACGCCACTTTTCTCACACTGGGGCTGAATCTCAAATGGCTCCCTGCTCCCTACATAGTGCACTACATAAGAATTTAAATACTGACTCCTGCAGCCCAACAATGCAAAATATAGCTAAAAATGGTCGTTAGGGATTCATACACATTCATACTCGACAGGCAGTGCAGTATCAGACAGCAGAAGATAGAATTTCTAAACTTAACGTTACACAGCTCACTATTTATCTAGGGAGTACGGAGCCGTTTGGGATTCAGGCTGGGTTTGACGCTACTTCTGACTGAAACATGGACATTTGGAGTGTGTGAGACATTCAGGTTCATTCTTTAGACTTTAATACTGCCGTTTTTCAGTGAATCATATCGTGAGTGCTTTAATTCAAGCCTGTGATATTAATGTTGGAGTTGTTTAGCATGTTTGCTATCTTTTAGCCTGTTAGCTAGCTGACCAGCCCGGTTCTAGATAAGAATATAAGTTTTCAGCCCCTCAGTTTAAACAAAAACGGGTTCTTACTTCATCAGTTCACTCGGTGCTCTGTGTGATCAGCATTAGAGTCAAAGATTAATCCATTAACAGCTGAAGGGTTTTTCGTGCTGTGGCGCAGTGATACAGAGTTCAGTCGCTGTGAGGAGGTCAGAGCCGTGGTATATTGTGGATTTTACAACAGTTTCGAATGCGGCTCAGCCAATCAGATTTTAGGACCGGAACTATCCGTTTTATAAGTACATATATACTATACCATATAAGATTGCATAAAATCTGTGGTTATTTATTTGGCCAAACAAAAAATCTCAGGGTACTTTCAAGCCCTCCAATCACGTTTATGAATTTTCAAATAAAACTTTCTGAATCATGGCCAAAGTAAATGAATTGAGCTGAATCGTGGAGACATTTTACACTTGCACTAAACCGAATGTTAATCAAGTTGAATAGTTGCTTAGAGACTTACACCTCCAGTATTAACCCTTCACATGCTGTCCTGCAGGTTACCCTTATAATGAGGTGTGCCAGTGGTTTATTGACCGAGCTGACCTGATCTTCCTGGTGTTTGACCCCACCAAGCTGGACGTGGGCCTGGAGCTGGAGATGCTTTTCAAACAGATGAAGGGTCGTGAGTCTCAGATCCGCATTATCCTCAACAAAGCAGACAACCTGGCCACCCAGGACCTGATGCGAGTGTATGGCGCCCTGTTCTGGAGCATGGCACCACTGATTAACGTGACCGAGCCGCCACGCGTCTACGTCAGCTCGTTCTGGCCGCGAGAGTATGTGCCCGACACCATTCATGACCTCTTCATGAAGGAGGAGATCTCCCTGCTGGAGGACCTAAACCAGGTGATCGAGAACCAACTGGAGAACAAGATCGCCTTCGTTCGGCAGCACGCCATCCGGGTGCGCGTCCACGCCCTGCTGGTGGACCGCTATCTCCAAACGTTTTACGAGAAGCTGGGCTGGTTCGCTGATCCAGATGAGGTTTTCCGTGACATCGCGGCCGACCCTGACCGCTTCTACATCTTCAAATCTGTGCTGGCCAAGGCCAACGTGAGCAAGTTTGACCTGCCAGAGCCCGAGGTGTACCAGGACTTCTTCGGGGTGAACCCAGTGAGTGGATTCAAGCGGCTGGAGTCACAGTGCGGCTGGACGGGAGGTTGCCTGCTGCAGAAGATAGAGAAGGCCATCGGGGAGGAGCTGCCCGCTCTGCTCAGCAGCCTGACCGAGAGGAAAGAGACAGTCAAACAGGAGAAGTCAAAGGCTCAGGAGAAGCCCCAAGCTGAGGAGAAGCCCCAAGCCGAAGAGAAGCCCAAGAACCGCTGGCGGAGGCAGTGAGGGAAAGAGAGAGAGAGGGGCGAGAAAGATTGAGTAGGAGGGAGTAGGGTGATGTTCCTAATAGGGGTGCACACTGGCTCTGTTCATACTGGACATCAAGCCAGTGAATGGATGGATGGATGGATGAATAAATTGATTAATAAATTAAAAATGTGAATGAATAACTGAATGAATGAATGGTTAGGGTGAGAAAAATGATGGATGACAGTAGAAGGAATGGATGGATGAATGAACAAATGCATGAATGATAGATGAATGAACAAATGTACAGATGGATGAATGAACGAATGACCAGACCAGGGGATCAGAGAAACAGGATGACAGTACCAGGAATGAATGAATGAATGAATGAACAGACGAACAAGTAAACGAATGAATGAGAAGCATGACAATGGATGAACTAACGGATGAAAGTGAGAATGAATGGTTCAATGAATGAATGAATGAAGGATGATGATTATGGGATGAAAGAAATAAAGGACAGTTCAAAGGGAGAATGAATGAATAGCATGCATAGTTGAATGAGCAAATGGATGAAATGACAAATATATGGATGAATGAATGAATGGACAGAAAGGGGGATCAGAGAAATGGGGTGACAGTAAAGGGAGTGAATGAATGAATCAGTGAACAAGTGAATGAATGAATGAACAAACGATTGAACATATGAATCAAGAAACATGACCGTGGATGAACTAACAGATAAAAGTGTGAATGAATGGTTGAACGAATTAATGACTGAATGAATAAAGAATGATGATTATGGGACGAGAGAAATGAAGACAGTTCAAAGGGAATGTATGAATGAATGAATAACATAGTTAAATACGAATGAATGGACAGAAAGGGGGATCAGACAAACGGCTTGACAGTAAAGGGAACGAATGAATGAATTAACAAATGAATTGATGAATAATTTAATTAAGGAACAGCTGACAGAGAGGAACGAGGGATGAAACTACGAAGAGGAAAAAAAAACATGAATTCAGAGCCGTGAAGGAAATCCAGAGGGAGTGGAGGCAGTTTGAACACAGAGACTCTCAGAGGTCGCTGATGTATACGGCAGAAATAATCCAGGTTTATGTATAAATATTTAAATATCAACTTAATCAGAGTTGCTGGTCTAGAACCAGCTTCGACCTGCAGCGTATACCTGTATTCCATTGGGTATTCATGGTAGGAGCTGATTCCAGACCAGCGCTCCCAGTGCGATGTGTTATGAATGTAGCCACTCTTTTGTTTCTTTCAATCACATCTGTTTGCCAGTGATTTATTTATTTACTGTTTCTTTCCACGAAATGCACCAGGTTATTAATCTTCATCGTTGATATTCGAGTAAGTGGTGGGCTTGTCGACTTGTGCTCTTTTAGAAAGCATGTCTTACATTGTGACTTGAGGTAGCTGTAATGCGTATGATTAGTAATTTTGATCGTTTCATTGTGGTGACTGACGTTGAATGTTTCTAGTGCTGCATGTGAAATATAGCATCACATTAAAGCTGTGTTTTTCTGTCCTAGACCGTGTCTTGATTCTGCAGCCGAAAAGAGTGGATGGATGAATGGATTGATGGAGGGATGGATGCACAAAATGATATTTTGCATGCAGCTAAATCAAGATCGAGTGAGAAATCTGAACATTTCAGTGCTTTGAGCCACATTCAGGGCCCATTCTCCCTGAAATTATGACATGGCGTAAGATGTCCACCAGGGGGCATCAGGTGTCATTGGAAGTTTCTGCTGTTATTACTGTAATAAGGAAATTATGAAACTCCCCTGCATCATATGAAGCAGTCACCTTTGGTCTTGGACAGATGCGTTTTTACAGCCATGCTGTGGACTCGTTCACACACACACACACACTCAGACTAGTTTTGAATTACAACAAAAGAGTAAAAACTGGATTCCTAAATGTGTCACCAAGACTAATATCAGGTGTCGTGATCGATTAAATGCTTTCAGAATGAATGTTCAACGTCGTGTGCCATTTTTAAGGCCTACCACCACATCAGCTTTTCACAATAACAAGCCTAACATGCACTTTTCTTCATCTGACCCTGATGACCCCGGTGAGCAGACTATTGGGTCAGTCAGCTGAGATACTGTTACCTGGGACAGTTATCTGGAAAAACTCAGGCTAAATGGGTCATAGCAGGGTGATATCAGCTGGAATGAATTTATGACTGGTTGGTCCAAGTTTCTGTCCGGCTGTGACCCTCAGCTGTGAGGGAACACACAGAAACCCTTATGGATACAGTATATATCCAAAAGTATTCAGACAACCTGTCTAAGGCCCAGTCCCATTTCACCCCTCGCCCTACCACTTGGCCCTTAGCCCTCTGTTTTGCGTGTTCATGTCTAGGGGCAGGGTGACCCGATTTTTGTTGAGATAGAAGGGGTAGGGTGAAGTGTTCGGACTACATGGCCCTCCAAACGGAGGTTTTTCAGAGACTCCAAACAGAGTGATATGAGAAAAAAAGAAAAACCGGCAAGATGGCTGAACGAGAGACCAAAGAAACCCACAAATTTTCTCCGTTAAAAAATTACGATAACCACTGTATTATCTTAGTTTAATGTCGTTTCAGTGTATTATGGTCGTTTTCTTCATAACAAGCATAAGAATTCGCTAAAATTATGCTAATGTCTCAGTAGCTAGCTAGCTAACTTTCCCATTCCACCTTAAATAGTCCAGCAGTTCTGATGCCTGAAGCACCAGAATGTAACTGCTGCACCATTTAAGGTGGAACGGGAAAACTCAAACAAGAAGCTGGTGAATATCGGACTTCAGCTTCACATCACTGAAGAATTAGGGGTGGTGATAATAAATAATCGCCCCCTCTTTGAAGGCAAATGATGCCCTAAATGTAACTAAAGCCCAGCAGTGAGGAGCTGAACTTTACCCTCCTCTGCTGTCACTGCAGACTGGCAGGGTCGCCTACAGAGCAGCGCTAGTAGCTGTTAATGAAGCAATGCTTTTTTTTTTTTGTTTTTTTTTGAGGGTTGTCCCATTTCTTAGGGCAATATTTCAACCACTACCCCTTGTAAGGGGTTAGGGTGACACTCGAAAACAAGGGGTAGGGGTAAAAAGAAGAAAAAATGTGATTGGGCCTAATTAGTGAATTCAGCTACTTTAAGTTGGCTCAAGTGTTCAAATGCTTCTGTAATCTCTGTAGAAAAGCTCTGCCAATAGAATGGGACACTATGGAGCAGCCACACATGAGCCTAAGGTCACCATGCCCAGTGGCAAGGTGTATAGAGCCCCCCTAGCGCTGAACTGTGGAGCAGTGGTACCATGTTCTCCGGAGTGATGGAGCAACACCTCTAGGATCAGTTCTATCATCCAACATCAGTAGCGGGCCTTAATGATGCTCTATAGGCTGAGTGCAATCAAATCCTCACAGCAATGTTCCAACATCTAGTGTAAAGGTTTCTCAGAAGAGCAGAGGCTGTTGATACAACAACCGGTTAATACCCTTGGACATTGAATGAGCAGGTGTCCACAAACTTATGGACGTATAATTTGTTTGCAGATGTTTGGGCGCCTCAGATCAAATGACTTGTTGGTTTTCTAAGTGAAAATAAGTCGAGCTCACACACAAACACACACTTTCTAAGCAGCTTATCTTCCTGGGTTGCAGGCGGTGCTGGAGCCTATCCCAGTGGTCATTGGGTGGAAGGCAGGAAACATCCTGGACAGGCCTCCAGTCCATCACAGGGAAGACACACAGACATACATCTAGGGGCAATTTAGTATCTTTAATTGGCCTGACTGCATGTCTTTAGACACGGAAAGAACTCCACACTGAAAGGAGTCTGGTTACCCGGCCGGGGAATCGAACCCAGGCCCTTCTTGGTGTGAGGCGACAGCGCTACCCTGTGCAATGGACAGAAATTTCATATGACTGAAATAGCAGCGTTACTGCAGCAATAAAAAGGTACTGTGCCGGAACACACACCGATCAGGCATAACATTATGACCTTGTCCTTGTTTCTACGCTTATTGTCCATTTTATCAGCTCCACTTACTATATAGGGTCACTTTGTAGTTCTACAGTTACAGACTGTAGTCCATCTGTTTCTCTGATACTTTATTAGCCCCCTTTTACCCTGTTCTTCAGTGGTCAGGACCCCCATGGACCCTCACAGAGCAGGTACTATTTGGGTGGTGGATCATTCTCAGCACTGCAGTAACACTGACGTGGTGGTGGTGTGTTAGTGTGTGTTGTGCTAGTGCGAGTGGATCAGACACAGCAGTGCTGCTGGAGTTTTTAAACACTGTGTCCACTCACTGTCCACTCTATTAGACACTCCTACCTTGTCAGTCCACCTTGTAGATGTAAAGTCAGAGACCATAGTTCATCTGCTGCTGCACAGTTTGTGTTGGTCATCCTCTAGTCCTTCATCAGTGGTCACAGGACGCTGCCCACAGGACGCTGTTGGCTGGATGTTTTTGGTTGGTGGACTATTCTCAGTCCAGCAGCGACACTGAGGTGTTTAAAAACTCCAGCCTAACTGCTGTGTCTGATCCACTCAGGCCAGCACAACACACACTAACACACATCAGTGTTACTGCAGTGCTGAGAATGATCCACCACCCAAATAGTACCTGCTCTGTGAGGGTCCATGGGGGTCCTGACCACTGAAGAACAGGGTAAAAGGGGGCTAACAAAGTATCAGAGAAACAGATGGACTACAGTCTGTAACTGTAGAACTACAAAGTGCACCTATATAGTAAGTGGAGCTGATAAAATGGACAATGAGCGTAGAAACAAGGACATAATGTTATGCCTGATCGGTGTACAATGTGCATAAACAACACTAAGGGCTGTGCTCGAATGCAGGTGTATGTTTATATATTATATAATATAAGAAAGTTCTTAATGAGATTATAATGTGTATCTGTATAGGTGTGTTCATGTGTCGGGTTATCACAATTATTTTCCACAGTTGTTCGCTTTCACAATCATATGTTTACATTGCAACAAACAATGAATTGGGTGTGTTTTTATTTGTTTGCTTGAGGCAAACGATTGTAAATACAAGAAAGCGGAAAGCATATTAATTGAGATTCACCATGAACCTTACTAAAGCAACATCTATCTAGTAGTGGGCGAATGTGGCAAAAACGTATATAACGGCATAATTAAGATTACCAATGGTTTCGGTATGTATCACGTTATAGTGTATTTATGTATATTTTTGTCAAATAAAACCATTTTGGATGCTTAAGTAGACCTTTTTAGTAGATTAGCGGTGGCATATTATTCTAGATATCCTTCACTTTTAATAAGAACCATATTTAACAGCTGAAATAAATCTAAACTATTTTTTCGGTGCAAAATAGTGAAAACAGAAATGAACGATATATAGACGGATGTCAATAATGCTTTCTAACCCTTATGAGATGAAGGGGAGTGTATGTAAAGTCCAGAGTGGCTTCTCTGAGTGGTGCTGAATGTTGTTTCACGTCCGAAAGTCATTTCTCTTGTATGTGCATCTCTTAATCTACGAGCATCAGACGCTGCTAGAATTTAGTAAATACTACAAGCTGTTCACACTATCGGTTTTAGTTGAGAAGCTGTGGAGCCTCTCAGTTTGTAGGCTGAGACCGTGGCATCGCCTGACAGGAGCTGGCTGAGCGAGGAGCACCATTGGCGGCGGTGCACATGGGTTGCCAGCTAGACTCCATGCTAGGATACTGGCTAACACATAACCCCAAGAGACTGGCTTTTCCTTCCACTCTCTTTTCCCCCATTTAACTCATTAACTCATTATAATCTGCTGCTTTGGCAACAAACTGGACTAACTGACCTCAGCTCACTACACGAGAGGTGAAGGAATCGGTGTGTTTTGCACTGTTTGTACGTCATGTTATCAGCATTTATTTGCATAGCGGTATAACGGTAATGACAAAACTAATACCTTAAAAAGAACTTCAACTGGTACACTGGAAAAAAAACTATATTGCCCCTACTACTTCTGACTGGTCTGTTACCTTTAGAGGGCAGCAGTGAGCAATGTTTGTTTATTTGAGCTCTGTGTTTGTTCATTGGCTAATAGCTAGTCAAATAGGGATGCGTTAGTATCGGAATCATATTAACATCGCAAGATATTTGCTCAAAAAGAAATTATTGCCATCAGAAAGATGTTTAACTTTGACAGATATTTCAAACTGAAATTTGATGATGTACTTATTCAGAACTTTTGAGTGACTCCTGGGCTACTGTGCTAGATATTATGTTTCTCTGTAATGCTTATCCAAGTAGATTTGGTCTCAATTACAACATTTTACAAATGTTTATGTATCAACGTTGGAAGTTACGTAAAGTACTGTGCAAAAGTCACAGACCACCCTTCATCCACTTCACTTCCAGTCAAAACGACCGTAATGTACAAGTTATTCATTTTTCAGGAGATATTTTAAGGAGGTTACATACATAAGATAAAGTACTTGCTTAAGGGAAGAGAAAGACAAAGACAAATAAAAAAAAACAAAAAAGGTTTCCAAAATAAGCTCAAAAATGATTAAAAGCTCCAGAGAAAATGGGCCTAACAACCACCTGGAAGACCTGGTAGACACCAAAACTGTCCCCATCAGATAAACAGCTCTTAAAGCTTTCATCTCTGAGAGAGAGGAGAAAATCAAGCTGCTTCAGATCTGAAAACATCCACAGGTGTTTCTGTCCATCCTTCCACTGTGAGAAGACGACTCAGCGCTGTGGGTCTGAAAGGATGTGTAGCTGTCAAGAAGAACCTCACTGAGAAAAGGAGACGGACACATCAAACAAAGAAGCTGAACGATGGACTGACCACCCCAGAGTCCAGACCTCAACATCACTGAATGTGCATGATATGTATATATATATATATATATATATATATATATATATATATATGTTACACACACAGGGCTCAAAAATAATAATAATAATGTAATAATAATGATAATAATAATGTTCTTTAATACTATAATTCTTTCTCCCTGTTTCTTCCTATCTCTACTTTTCTCTTTATTCTCTCCCTCTGTTTTTACATCTCTCCCTTTTCTTCTTTCTCTCCAACTTCTCCCTTGTTCATCTTCTCTCGCTCTCTTTCTTTTTTCTAAAGTCTTCTCCCCTGTTCTTTATCGTTCCTTTCTCCCTTTTCTCTCCTTTTTTCTATCTTCTCTCACTCTATTTCATCTCTAGGGTTAGGGGTTCATTTTTCTCTTCATTCTCTCCTCTTTATCTCTCTTTTTATGTCGCTCTTTTTCTTCTTATTTCCTTTCTAACTTCATTTTCCTTCTTTCTATCTTCTTTTCCTCTCCTTCATTTTTCTTTTATACTCCTTTTCCGTTAACTTTCTTTCTTTCTTTCTCAGTCTCTCTCTTTCTTCTTCCCTTCTCTCTAAAGTCTTCTCCCCTGTTCTTTATCGTTCCTTTCACCTTTCTTTCTGCTTGTTTCTATCTTCTCTCACTCTATTTCATTTTCTCTTTATTCTCTCCTCTTTATCTGTTTTTACATCTCTCTCTCTTTTTCTTCTTTTGTCTTTCTAACTTCGTTTTCCTTCTTTCTATCTTCTTCATCTTTCTTTTTTACTCATCTTCCGTCTATTCTCTCTCTCTGCGTGCTCGCCGCCATTTGAAGTCTCTCCTCGTGTGCGCGCTCCCGCCTGTCTCGCCCCCCTCACTCTCCCCCTCCCTCTCTGTTCTAAACGTTGAGGCCAACTTACACACACTTACACACACACACCCCAGGTTTTTTCCAGCGCTGCTGGGGAAGAGAAGATGGTGGAGGAGCTCTGTCTGTGTCCGTCCTCCCGCTCCTCCTCACCGGGCTGAGAGCAGAGCGCAGTTCGGTTCGGCGTGGCGGGGCTCCGCGGAGAGGGGAGCAGAAAAACACGCCAACTAACGGACGGAAGAGGCGCAGAAGCGGCTCTGCGTGTGTGTGCGCGTCGCCTGGCACTGACATGCCAACGGAGAGAGGGGGAGCGAGAGAGAGACGACTGAACAGCTCCAGTAGGGCAGCCGCTCACTAACTCACTCCCTCCCTCACCCCGAGCCTCCCTCACTCCGAGCCTCCGCACGGATTATTTAACGCTAGCGGGTCTCGTATTTCCCCGCTGTATGTAGCGGCTGGTCGGAGGAGGCCGTTATTATGGAGGAGCTACGCCGGGTTGAGCTGCTTCTCCTCCGCGTGGCGTTCCGAGCTGCCGCCGCCGCCGCCGCTGCCCAGCCGACCGACGGCCTGAGACAACTTCACCGTGGAAAACACTAACGCTGCCGGATCAGACTCCTCTCAGTTTGGGTATTTTGGGGTTTTTAAGGAGGCCAGTCGACTATTTGTGCCCACTAAGCCATAAAAGGAGTCCGGGCGGTGGAGGTAAAGAAGAAAAATAAGTTGTTTTCCTCACTTTATCCGGATTCTCACAGTATGTTCGGGGCTGACGTTGATCTGCTCCGGTTTTCAGTTATTTTGGTATCGTGTGTGTGAGAGAGTGTGTGTATGAGAGTGTGTGTGTGTGTGTGTGTGTGTGTGTGAGAGCCAGATGTGAACAGCCGTGTTGTAGCTTCACGCTAAAGGGAACGTCACTTTAGTACTTTTACGGCTGTTTTTACGCTATTTTCGTCGAAGTCGTCAGGCTGCCGTGCGAGTTTTTGAACGCGGGGACGCGGAGGGGTGATATCCGGATTGGGAGTTCAGGAAAGGACGGGGCTCCTCCATGGGAATAGGCCCAACATGCCCCTCTCCACAGCACGGGCATGAGGGGCTAAGTGGGCTCTGGAGGCTAGCGCAGACGTAGAAAAAGGGAAAAAAAAACTACCATGTCTTAAAAACAGTCTCGCTGCTTGTATTAAGCTGAAACAGTGATCGTTTGAGCCAGCGTGAGGGGAAGTATTTCACGTTAGGGAGTTTGGGAACCGTCTGTGTGGAGTTGACGTGCTCGAAAATGGGGGGAGTGTTGTTGTAAACTCCATTTTTCATTTCCCTTAAACTTCTAACTTACCAGGCCTCGATTTAATGAACAAGGGATAGGGAAAAACATGCAACGAACGAAAGCAGCTGCAGGTAGGAAAAGGCGTCCGTCATCTGTAAATATGAAGATTGTGCTCGTTTTCACTGACTTTGCTTGGGAAGGGAAAGGGAATCCGTGACATTAAGGGACGAGAGAGGATTACAAAGATAAAGAAAAAGAAAATTAGTCACTTCTGGGGTGCTAAAAGTGTTTCTGTGCCCTGTAATTGTGCATAAGTGTGATTTAGGAGTGAGTGTGTTGGCCTGAGGGCAAATCGAAGCGATGTGTTTTACTCAGAAGGCCGGAGCGGATGAACGGCATTTTCAGCCTTGGCAAGAGCAAAAGTACACACAAGTGCCTCAGAGCCTCGGAGCATAATGGGATCTGAGTGCTGACGCAACCCGAGCCTGGATAATGAACTGCTCAAGAGTCTGAGACGGTCCATCACAAGACCCAAGGGCTCAGAGGAGCACGGGAACACGTCTGCTCTTAGGCTGGGCTCAGAAACTGTGCTTTGTTTGCCTTCTACCCTCCATCCGCCTTCATCTTTTCTCTGCGAAGCATCCCCGAGTGACATGCGGTTAGACTAATCGGGCCCCGAGCTGACTTGTCATGGCATCTCCACGACAGCAGTGGGAGCGACCAACCCGGAGCACGGAGGTCAGCTGTGACAGCAAAGGAGGAGGTTTGACCGTACGGGTTATGGACGCTCACCCGGAGCCGGAGAACGGGGGCAAGGGTGCGGGCGAGGCGAGGCTGATGGGAGTCCCCAAACCCTGCAAGTACAGCATCTCGTCCAGCTGCAGCAGCTCAGGGGAGTCCGACGTCCGCAGGACGGTGATGACCAGCCTGCGCAGTCATAGGACCGTGCCGCAGCTGTTCGAGCGCTCGGCCGCGCAGTGCTGGGACCCCAAATTTGACTCGGCCATCCTGGAGGAGGCGTGCAGAGAGAGGTGCTTCCCGCAGACGCAGAGGCGCTTCCGTTACGTGCTCTTCTACCTGTTCACTGCCGCGATCCTCTGGAGCATCTACTTTGGGATCAACAGCTCCCAGTGTGATCTCGTAACCTTCTTGCTCCCTACGGCCAGCTTACTGGTCCTGTGCCTCGTCCTGTTAATTTTCACCTTCTCGCGGCCTTATGTGCGGCTCTATAACCAGGCCTCCCTGCTTCTCATCATCTTCACGTTTGGTGTCACGTTGGCACCACAGACGCAGACGGCCAGCTTCTTTCACTACGAGTGGCAAAGGGACGGCAACAGGACTCTAACGCCGCCCGATCCCGCTCCATGTATCTCGCCAGTAGGAACTTTTTCTCTGTGCATGGAGGTGCTGCTCCTGCTCTACAGCATGCTCCACCTAAGACTGTATGCCTCTGTTCTGCTGGGGCTTCTATACTCGGTTCTGTTCGAGACCCTTGGTTGGCTGTACCTGACCCAGGTAGAACCTAACGGGTCCTTGTTGTGGCTGGCACCAGGCAAAGTCCTCCTCCACCTGTGCGCCCATGTGATCGGCATCCACCTGTTCATCATGTCGGAGGTGCGTTCACGCAGCACTTTCCTGAAGGTGGGCCAGGCCATCATGCATGGGAAGGAGCTGGAGGTAGAGAAGGCGCTCAAAGAGCGCATGATCCACTCTGTAATGCCGCGGGTGGTGGCCGATGAGCTGATGAAGCAGGGTGACGATGAGAGCGAGAATTCCGGCAAGCGCTACAGCGCCACAGGGACTTGCCAGGCCTCCGCCTCTGCTTGCCCAGCTTCATCCTCCAGTCCTAAGAACAACAAGCGCAAGAAGACCTCCATCCCACGTGGGCAGATCATCTTCCGGCCCTTCAACATGAAGCGCATGGAGCCTGTCAGCATCCTGTTTGCCGACATCGTGGGCTTCACCAAGATGAGTGCCAACAAGTCGGCTCATGCTCTGGTGGGGCTCCTTAATGATCTCTTTGGACGCTTCGACCGCCTGTGCGAGCTGACGCGATGCGAGAAGATCAGCACACTCGGCGACTGCTACTACTGTGTGGCCGGCTGCCCTGAGCCGCGTGAGGACCACGCCTACTGCTGCGTGGAGATGGGCCTGGGTATGATCCAGGCCATCGAGCAATTCTGTCAGGAGACGCGTGAGACGGTGGACATGCGTGTGGGCGTGCACACGGGAACAGTACTCTGCGGCATCCTGGGCATGAAGCGCTTCAAGTTTGACGTGTGGTCCAATGACGTCAACCTGGCCAACCTCATGGAGCAGCTGGGCATGGCCGGGAAGGTGCACCTCTCAGAGGCCACAGCCAGCTTTCTAGATGACCGTTACGAGAGGGAGGACGGGAGAGTGATGGAACGGGCAGGACAGAGCGTCACAGAGCAGCTGAAAGGTAGGACGGTACTTTATTTGTGTTTTTTCTTCCATTGCAGGTATGTACGGTGTCATAAAATCTAAACCTGCCCTCACAAATGCATATAAATTTTATAGTACTAACCACATAATTTGTAGGCTTGTAGTTGGTGAATAAAACTTATTATTGGTTTGCAGATTAAGATACAGAATATAATTGAAGTGCTAAGTAAAGCGAGTTATTTATTGTACGTCTTGATTTGAAGAGTTGGAACCAATTTTCTTCATTTAGCTTCGCTGGAGAGGTGAGGTTCCACGCATAATTGACGTTCACTGATTCATTATTAAGTGGATGTTCTAAAGCATTTGTGTCACGGTTAGACTAATCTCATAAATCGACCATAGAGCGACGCCACGGCATGAAGGTCAAGCTGTTGTTTTTCTGCAGTGTGCCAAAAGTAGCACTAAAAGCTAAAGCGGTGTGGTGTAGCTTTAACATTTGTCAGTTTGTGTTTGTTAGGGCTCTCCCTGCCCTTGGCCTGCTCGTCGGAGTACTTGGACAGCATTAACGGGGTCGTCTTCTATCCGTGCCCTCCGTGTTTGCATGGCGTGCTACGATTTAGCTGTGCATATTTGTATGGAAGTGATAGCGACTGATAAGAACACAAAACAAGCCTCGCTATCGTGTGGGAGTGCAGCGCACTGCAGCGAGGCCCAGTCCAGGGACGATCCTAAGGCTGGGCAAAAAAGGTGCAGCCCCTGCCAAACCAAATTTCGCTGTAGACCAACCAAAATAAGGCAGAAAACATAAGGACAGCATCCGAGAGATGAATCAATCAAGCTGTCAGGCTTTGGAGGTGGCCACCATGACGAAGCAGTCTAGAAGTGACCCCTGGCCCACGCAGTTCATTTCAATGTGGTTTCTTCCGTGTGATTGGTGTTTTGAGAAGTATGACTGTTGACCTTTGCGATTGTGGGTCTCTCTCAGCTTAGCGTGGTTCCTCTGAGGGCTAATGATGTCTGCGAACGGGCTAGCGGCCCTATTGTTAGCCCTGATAGCATCGTCCAGACACAGAGTCTGTCGGCACGTGCTCACCTTCAGCTTTCTCGGTATCATCAGCAGCTATATAAAGACCGGCAGAGCTTTCGTTTTGATTTAAAGTCCTATTGACAGACACGAGCGGAGGCCTGTCTTTCTTTCCGTCTCTATCTCTCTGTTTCTGTCTCTGTTCCTGTCACGGGCTCCACACTCCACTTCTTTCATTTTCTCTCTCTCTCTCTGTCCTCGCTCTGCCCCTGCCTGTTCACCCTAAATGAACTTTGCAGGTGTTTCTCTCTTTCTCTCCTTCCTCTCTCCCGTGTCGTCTCTGTCTCTCTTCGAAAGCCACCTGTCTCTTGGGGCGGGCCGGGGAATTAAGCAATAAGAGTTTATGGCAGCGGGTGAGCGGTGTTCACAGTAGGATTTTCAGGCCGGCATTTTTGTTCCCTCAATCAGGGCGTGTTCAGATTACAGCAGGGTCGCAGAGAGCGCATCGCCTTCGCAGCCACCTGTCTGCTTCAGGGCAGTTATAGGTTTGAGCGAGGGGTGGACGATATCACACCATTATCACGATAAAATATATAACGATAAGCTTTTTTGAGCGTATCGTGGATATAGTCAGTCCTTCCACGTAAGCGGTGGGCAATACGATATGAGGGGGTGGGCAATATGATATGATACCATTATCACGGTAAAATATATCGTGATGAGCTTTTTTGAGCATATCGTGGGTACAGTCAGTCCTTCCGTATTAGGGATGAGTAATGACTTTGAGTGTTCATGGTTCTTCATAGAACCGTTTTCTTTACTAAAGAACCCTTGAAGAGCCATGCTTTTTAAGAGTACTGTATCGTGTATCAGGAAACGTCTCAAAGTATTGCTTAATTCTTCGCTCTTTAGGAAGATGGTTCTTCGAGCGTTCTTCTATTGTTAGAAGCTGAGTATTGTAACTGGAAGAACCCTTTTCGGCGCTGTATAGAACCCTTTCAAAAAGGTTCTATATAGAACTCTCTACTGCACATTCTCCATCTGAAGAACCCTTTCTTGATGCAAAGAACCCTTTAATCATGCCAAGCGTTCTTTTGAGTGTTCATGGTTATTTATAGTACCATTTTCTTTACTAAAGAACCCTTGAGGAACCGGCATTTTTTTTAAGAGTACTGTAAGCAAAGAACCTTTTAATCATGCAAAGGATTTATTGAGTTCATGTTTCTATATAGAGCTGTTCTCGTTCTAAAGAACCCTTGAAGAACCATCTTTTTTAAAAGTACTGTATCATGAAACGTCTCAAGGTATTGCTTTGTTCTTCACTCTGAAAGATGGGGTTCTTCTATTGTTAGAAGCTGGACATTGTAACTGGAAGAACCCTTTTTGGTGCTGTATAGAACCCTTTTCAAAAAGGTTCTATATAGACCCATCTACAGCACATTCTCCATCTGTTTGAAGAACCATTTTAGTAAGCAAAGAACCTTTTAATCATGCAAAGGGTTTATTGAGTTCATGTTTCTATATAGAGCTGTTCTTGTTACTAAAGAACCCTTGAAGAACCATCTTTTTTAAAAGTACTGTATCATGAAACGTCTCAAAGTATTGCTTAATTCTTCACTCTTAAAGATGGTTCTGCAAGGGTTCTTCTGTTAGGAGCTGGGCATCGTAACTGGAAGAACCCTTTTCAAAACGGTTCTATATAGAACCATCTACAGCACATTCTCCGTCTGTTTGAAGAACCATTTTAGTATGCAAAGAACCCTTTAATCATGCAAAGCGTTCTATGTGGAGCTGTTTTCTTTACTAAAGAACCCTTGAAGAACCATGTGAAGAGCGTATTTATGTCCTATTGACCACCCCGACTGTGGGGAGTGGAGTTCTTGGAAAAGAGAGAGAGATAGAGAGAGATAGGGTTTGTACTCTGACTCCTCAGCATTAGCCACGTCAATCCGCAGACTTCAGCCGTCTCAGGTGTTGGGCTGTAAGGTGTGTGAGTGCGTGTGGTATCAGTCCATCAGCACTTTGCCCTGCTGTTTCCCCTCCGTTCTGTTCTTCTGTAACGATGACTCACCACTTTGTCTGCGTAACTCCATACCCCAGCGTTCCCCAGCGTTCCCCGGCTCCGCAGCAGGGGCCCAGGCAGCATCTGGAAGTCGTTCAAAGTGATCCTCGCTTTATCTGACTCAGGATGGACTTTCTGTCCCAACGTTGTTAAGTAACCAGGCTGTCGCGTGTTCCATGTTGCAGCACCACAGCGTTGCTCCTTTGGTACGAGGCCTGTTTCCCATCAAACTCGGTCCACGTTTGAACCCATGACCCTCTGGCAGCACATCAGCAGCTGGAACCACTGGGCAGCAGTTTATGAATGTTGTATTTTTGAGGCTTTCAAGGTTTTAGCGCTTCTCTTTCATCACAGTTTGTAGAAACCTGAACTTTCCTGGAGTCAGTTAAACAGCTTTTCTGCGAGTGCCTTTACGTGCACTCAGTAATCCGATCATAATCAGATTTCTGCAGTTATCTGATTATTCAAATGGTCATGTAAACACCATACTTTGATCTAGAAATCAGATTAAATCTGATAATGAGTGTATTTATGTGCACTCAATATTCTGATCATAATCAGATTTCTGCAGCTTTCAGATTTTTCAAATGGTCATGTAAACACCATACTGTGATCTAGAAATCCAATTAAGAAATCTGATATTGAGTGTATTTACATGCACCCAATAATCTGATAGCTGCAGAAAATCAGATTTTGGCAGTAATCCGATCAACATGTTTACATGCACTTGAGTAATCAGATAATGGGGCAAACTCACAGAAGACGACATAATATAAAACTCAGATTTCTTACAGTGGCTTTTTTCTAAAAACACTGCGCCGCTTTACCTGAAAATGTGAACATAAATCATCTAGAAGATAAAGAATATTTAAATCCTTTATTTTGTGTTTGGTTCAGCGCCACTCAAAGTGTTTTACTGCGTCTCGCAACGTCCACCATCTGGTCTCACACATGCACTGAGAAATCTGAGTATGGTGTTTATATGACCATTTGAATAATCGGATAACTGCAGAAATCTGATTGTAATCGGATCATTGAGTGCATGTATACGCACTCAAAGAGAGCTGGATTTTAGCTCAGTAATCAGATTTCTCAGTGCATGTGTGCTCTTACTCTGATTTCTTTCATTTTTCTTAGTCTTCACCTGTTAGATCTTAAGACAAAAAGATAGGAAGTGTCTAATACGGCCCAAAATTTTAAAAATTTTGTGAGCCGAATAGAATTGTGCCACAGGCCTGACTTGGCCCGAGGGCCTTGTGTTTTACATGTGGGTTCTGGATGATGTATGTTCATATTTTCAAGTGAAGTTGCGCAATGTTTTAAAAGCCACATCATGAAGTTTGAGTTTTACGTTACGTTTACGTCACGTCGTCTTCTGTGAGTTTATTGGCTGGTTTGTAAAGCAGAAATCCGATTACTGTGTGACTCATGTAGACTTGGAGTTTCCCCAGTATCTGATTACTGAAATGGGTCATCCTACAGAAATGTCCATTTTTGTGTTCCTAGCGTTTACAGATATTACACTTGAAAAACGTTTTAAAATAAAACAATACAATGTTATTTTAACAGTTACACCTTCGTCAGCCGTCAGTTTAGCAATATTCGTTTTCAAATCAATCATATAGAATTCCAAGCACCACAGAAGAGCTCGTCCTCACAGTCATGTGTAAAGGCTGAGGCCATATTTTGAAGAAAAAAATTAGTTTTGCTGCAATTTTAACTGCAATAATCTATACATGAGTATGAAATATATAAATTAAATGACAAAGTAAACAAATGCCAAATAAATATTATAAAATATATAATGAAAGTTGTCCCCAGGAGTCGTGTCACTGGTGTTACTGCGTAGCAAAAAAATCTCTTATTTTGAAATAAACATCACACTGATGACATCACTCGACTTCCTTTTACCTGTTTTCTGAGGATCTATGAAGAAAAGCTCATGGTGAGT